CCTAATCTTCCTGTCAATACATATTTTTTTACTGGCGTGCTATCCTGATCTCCGGAGTCGCGAATTATGAACGCAGCCCCAATCCACTGCTCTCCGGCCAAGTCAATCGGTCAGACATATGAATCCTGTTAAAAAATGGTCTCCAGGAATTTGTAGATGTCATCTCGAACATCATATTCGCTCATAAGCCCATGAGAGAGAGGATTATGAGAACTGACCTTTAGCAGCGTAAGCTGTGTCTCGGATGGTTTCTCGACAGTATTCATAGTCTGTCTATTACAAGCTACGAAGACAGCTACAGCTTCACTAAGGTCACATTCTCACCATAGGTATAGGTGTAGCAAGTGATCGGCTTCTTACTAAAAGTGTAGGGTATGTGAAGATGAGGTCTAGTATCCTGCTCTAACGTAGTTGCAGTTGGGAGAGGTCTTCGAGCTACTTGAACCTTGTCCTTCGGAAAGCGCCAATGTACTTCATTCGTCTGCGTGCGTTCTTCCTCTGTTGATAGTGGCTCATGACTACGGTGACCGCATGCCCCAACTTTTGTAACGAAGTGTGGCTCACACATCGCTCACCCTTTCAAATGCCTTCATTTTTTCTAGCTCACGCATCCTGTTTGGCACCATTAGGAATTCAGTAAGGCGGGTTCTAAGCAACTTTGTGCTCTGGCCTGTTTGACAGAGTATGCCAGTTCAAGTGACAAAGTTCGGAAACCATCGCCTCTCTGCGCGCCTTGAACACGCCTCTCGGCGAGATAGTGAAGCTTTAGTGCGCAACGAAGAATTATCGAGCGAGGGGAACGTGGCGATGTCATGGGCCACATGTAGCAGACCCAGCCGAACATGGGTCTTCATCTTGGGGATTCCTCTCTGACCACAAGAGATACTGAGATATACTACTCCCATACGTTCGTTAAGTAATGCTATTTCAATAGGTTCTCTGCATTTTTTGTTGCTTCCTTGCATTACTGTTAGGTTAATCCAATCCCAGAACTATATTGGGACCATAGTAGCACAGTAGTAACCTATATTAATTCAATCACTCAATGTGGCTTTAAAAAAGCAAGGTATCACTCCACGAATCAGCGGAAAAAAGCCTGCAGCATTTTTTTTTACCGCCTCTGTGAATTTGCGAACAGTCCATTCGAAACAATCATATGTCTGCAACAATCATATCTTGGATTCTATAGTTTGCTAGTAATTGTAGTAGTTATGTGGAAGTTTTCCTGTGTTGTAAGCAGGTAATTGAGAACAAAAGCCGAATTTAGAACGATGTTTTTCGTATTGGAGCAAGAAAGACCGGCATAGTGCACCAGAAGGATGTTCTCGGGCATACTGGATGTGTGAATGCCGTTGAATTCAACAAAACCGAGGATATGCTAGCAAGTGGTTGGTTATAGCGACGTGAACAACTTTCACACTGCTTCTTATAGGCCGCGTTCATAGTTCGCGACTCCGGAGATTAGGATAGTACGCGACAATGAAAAACATATGTATTGACGGGGAGATTAGGATAGTAGTAGAGTAGGAGATTGCGCTGACAAGATTAGATACGTATCGATTGAAATCGCTGGAGAGTAGTAGATTGGATACTACATCAATCGATACGTATCCAATCTTGTCAGCGCAATCTCCTACTCTACTACTATCCTAATATCCTGTCGCCTACTATCCTAATCTCCCGAGTCGCGAACTATGAACGCGGCCTAGAAGATTAGTTTTCAAAATTGTAAACGAATTTTGTAGGCGGCGACGACATGCGTGTTTTCGTCTGGCACGTCTCAGATCTCATGTTGGAGGAAGCACCAAAGCCTGCCGTAGTCATGGAGCGAGGCCATAACTCAAACATTTTCTGCTACCAATTTTCGCTAGAGTTTGGCTTCGATTATCTTTCTTCATCTGGTTTCTTCCTCTCCGGTTTACACTTCTAATTGGTTTAAATATTAAGTGGTGGTGAACTGTTTTCTGGTGGCAATGATGGCGTAGTGCTACGTCACGATGTTACAACACGCAAGCCGTTGAGTGTTTATGAAGAGCGTCATCCCGTGTACAGCATATCGGCTAATGTAAGTTGCTAAAAGATAAGGCTTAGAAGTTTGCTAAGTCTTTAAATTCCTGAATAGCGGGCCATCCTATGGGAAAACCGATGAAAGGACGGGAACGTTGGTAGTACACACTTATACAGGGTGCATAAATATGGTACCAAGTTGAGACATTGAAAATGAAACTAAATCTGTAATATGATGAAACCCTACAGATATTTATTCTGCACTGTAACGGCGGAGTAGCTATATGATAATTTGATATGGCTGCATACACCTCAATAGTTGCGGTTGGGTGCGCGTTTCACAGAGCACGCTGGTCGGTGAGTGCTCATGGAGAATGTTCTGGGCCGCGGACTCGTCGTTCTTGAACCTGTCCTTCACACGGCTAGTCGTCGCTCACTAAGCTTTATTCGAGGTGATAATCGGAACTGGAACTGCTGTCGCGGCGAAAAAGGGAAAAAAAATTGAAATAGAGATCTATTGAAGAGGGAGCTGTTAATGAAGGAAAGTGTTCCTTCCATTATATAACCAAGAGTGATGAGCAGAGAGGATAATTTGTGTGTGAGTGCCTTTCATGGCGATTCATAGTTCTTTTTTTTTGTGACATGTGCGTTTCGCTCATTAGTTGAGATGCCTTCAGGGCACAGCTTTCACAGCAGCAGCATAGCTTGTAGCAATTCTGATAGTAGAATTGCTCGGCACACGGTACAGAGCATACGCGATTGAATCAAAATACACGCGGTGCAGAGCATACACCTTTGAATCAAAATTCATATGGCGGCATTTCAAATTATTTCAGTAGCCGATGATGACTGGTCCTTGAGTGTTTGATATATTCAGCCAGCACCACCACACATTTCCAACGGGTCGCTCAACTAACTTTGATGAACTTGTGTCATTTGTTCCGTGACATGCATTACAGTCGCGCATTTACATCTGCTAGTGCTATAATGAGTCCGCCTCGATAAGTTTTCTCAAAATGTAGTTCACTCTTGTGCGGGTCTTGTTGATTCCTTGCTGCCAACAGGATAAATGGGATGGAAGGAACGGGGAATGGAGGATTCATTCAGGATCTGGTGTTTCACTATACATTTACGTGCTCATGTACCTGAAAAAAAGCAGTTTGAAGGGGCTGAACCAGTTTTGGGTTGGGGTGAGGTAAGCGCCAGAGCATGCACAACGGATTAGTTAAGGTAAGACCAAAGCAGGAATTGTGGGTAGAAGTGGCGGTATCCAAGTAAACCTATGGTTTTGAACACAGATCCCGAATCTGCTCTCCAGTCGATTCTCCGAACAGAATTATGACAGTTTTTCTTTACACGATATAACTAGGTAAGCTCCAGCACCGAAGTTATTGGCTACAGGAGGGTGTGGTTCACTAGGACAGAAAGCGACTTTTTCGCGTTTCGCAGCGCGAAACATTTTCGTTGCGGGAACCTCGGGTCCACTGATCATCAGTGGACCTGAGGTTCCCGCAGCGAAAACGCGCTGCGAAACGCGAAAAGTCGCTTTCTGTCCTAGTGAACCACACCCCTACAGCGATATCTCCTGAACTGAGCCAGTGAAAGAATGGAATGCGTGCTGATGGCTCAGTGATTAGAGTTTCTGGTTTCCAGGCTGGGCGCTGGAGTTCGGATTTGCTTTCGCCTTCTGCTCTTTTGTCAACCCTTTGGCGACAGTCGAATTTGTACGCAACGGGCTCGTGGGACTACGCCTCTTTTGGCGTTGAAATTGCAAGAAATTGCAGGTTTGGAAGGGCCGGAGGGTGAAAACTTCCTAAGCTAGTGTGTAAAATAGAACTTTGAAACAACTCAAAACCCTCCCTTTGTCTAAGGTCTATAAAAAACCAAAAAGCTTTATAGGTTCTGAATTTCCGGCCCAATCATGCAAAATTCCAAGTACTAGGCCGGCGAGCTAAATGCCACACTCTGAAATTTTGAATTAAATAACTCATGATGAACATTTCTGCGACGCTTGCTAAGATAGATATTATGACGATATTTTGATAGTAGCTGGTATGTTGAAAATGCTTCAAATGCGCAAAGAAGGAAATTTCAAGGTGGCACCCACCATTGGGTGCCATTGTCCCACGCGGCGAACATAGTGGCACCCACCGGTGGGTGCCATTGTCGTCAAAGGGTTAATCATCGTTAGCGAGCCATTTTCGCCAAAGGTTAATCATCGTTAGCGAGCGATTTTGGTATTTAATCACTGAGAACATATATTCTCCAAAAAAAGCTTGGTTGACTTGTGCTGATT